GGGGCACGTCGCCCTCGCACCCGGCGCCGGCTTTTTTTGAAGCGCAGAGAAGCGGCGAAGGGCGGCGCAGAAGATACACGCCGCATGGGGCTTTTCGGATCACTTGGTAGGATCCACTGTGAAAGCTGAACGGGGGGCGGGAATGAGTGGGTGTGCAGGGAGCTTTTTTGTTCCCATCATGCTCGTGCAAATCCGTCTGCAACTCTTGTTGAATACCTGTAGAGGAAGTAGGCCAGCCGCTTAAAAAGCAGATTGCCTGACCCGCATACCTGTGTCAAACATAAACGAGTTTCAATTTAAACATTAACCCAGCAAGAAATTCGTTTTAGGTTCACGAGGAACCTGTTCTTTCAACTTTGTACAGTTCTTTCAACATTATTCATGTAATGTTTTAAAATATATATATATAAAAGACAGGCATCAACATGTTTCACTGACACACAACCCACGTTTTATGGTTTGGTTGATTTATTTTTAATTCCATTATTATTCGAATAAAGATTAGGCCCGTAGGACACAACTCCACTGTTTCAGTTTACGTAAAATAAGGATCTCCTTTTTCTCAAGGTAACTGTTATTTGGCACTATTGTAACGTTGTTTAGTTTTGTGGACACTGAATTATTATGAATCAAGCACTGTGCCGATGCTGTATTTCCGCAGTCATAACAGTGGTATGTAATGGTTAATGAGAGGAATTTGCGATATTCAAAGTAGGCAAACGCCAGGGCCTTTAATCAGTAATCACTGACGAGAGTTAGTGTTGACAGGACAGGGTCAAAGGTCCTCACACCTATGTTGCTCTAATGATACTCTCGAAACCGTGGGAATAGTTTCGTTTCGCTGAGTAAATTCCACGTCGCTCTTTTCCAATATGTAACTGTGACAAGGCTTTAACGAGCCGATAAAAAGCGCTCAAGTGTGTCGAAACACTTTTGGACGACGTTTTAATTCATTTGCCGACTTGCACCAAAATCCCTTCCCCCACCCCTCCGGGAGAAAAAAGGAGTTGGGGGAAAACCAGCCCCCACCGCCGCCACCACCTCCACTCCCTTCGGAAAATGCCCCTGGGTCACCCCCCTCTCCAAGAGGTGTGCTTAGCGACATCACAAGGCGGCACCCACATTTTTAATAAAGCTGGATTTTAAAAGCCTGTCACCTGCGGCGCATAGCAACCGGTACTTAAAAGCCTAATTATTAACCCGCGTCTGGAAAGATGTGCCTAGCTCGAGCAGTTATCCCAGAGGCACGGAGGGATTTCAAATGAGGAGAAAAGTGAGTAGCCGTGTCCATTTCGGTAACTTTAGAAAAGGCCGGTAAGCGAGAGAGGGAAGACATATCCAACCCAAAGAGACTGAACGACCCCTTAGCTCTTAAACGGCGACAAGTATAGTTTGTTCTAGTGATGACGCCAGAAAAAAAAAGTGCTGATCTGCCTTGAAATTGAGATTGCGCTTAGACTCCGGTTTAAAACTAGCTGGAAAAAAATGTCGAGTCTTTAAATACTTTTTATATTGTCAAATCGTTTACATTCCAGAAAATACTGTTCAGATGTATTATTGAGTGTGTGTGTGTGTGCTGAAGTACTCCGTCAAGTACTACCGTGAAAGTTTGCTCGTCTTGCAGTTCTGCAAATGGGGATTGGAAGGTAAACTTGTGCTGAAAACAATTCAGGTGTTCGTCGAGATGGGTGTGCAAACTGAGAACCTTTCTGTGATGATGTCAAACAGTAACCAGGCGGTTGGTTAATAAATATCAGGTGTTTTTAAAGACGTTTTGCCTTTATTGTATATGTAGTTCTCAGTTTCCCCCGGGAGATGTGTTCCTGAAAAAAAACAGTGTAATTCCAGAAACAGTAAATAAAATCCACTTCCCCACAGGATTGTCTTTAAATGAGGGGGTGGGTTCTGGGTCCACTTCCTACCAGAGTATTGAACTACCCAATAAAACCACATACACATTGATTCACCCAAGATTTTTCTGTAATTGTACTAAAAGTAGTTTTTAAATTAATTGTGTGGTAATGTGTATCAGTGTGAAAGGTAACGGGGAGACTGTTAATCGTGGTGGGTGGCAAACGGTGTGGAAAATGCAGGAGTCGTGTGCCCACAGACACTTCTGAACTTAGCAACAAGCTTCTGTCTTTTTTTAATCTCCGTTCATACATTTATTTTAAATTCTTATTAGTAACATTGCAATGCTTTTTCTTTAGGATTTTAGCTGATAATTGAGTGGTTTACTTCAGAATTTTATTATTTATTAAATGTTAAGGCTGACAGGTTTGCTTTGTTAGGCAATGTTTTATTTACAGTTTTTTTGTGTTAAAGTTGAGGATTTTTACACACAATTGCTTGCTTTTAGAGTTTTGTTTATTTTATTGTTGATTTTAAACAATTTAAACATAAGTTACTGACTCAGACAATGAAGACCTTTTATTTAGTAAGCACAACACGTGGGAAGACAACCGTCTGTGTGTCACCCAAGTCATGCTACTCATCCCAGCATGCAACTGGGCACTTGTGCGTCATCTCCAACACTCCGTCAAGGGGCCCTTTGCTGACTGTAGCCAACCGTTTTAAAATGAGAAATAATTTGTCCTTAATCAGGAAATGGTATATATTTTTGAGGCATGTTGAGTGTAAAAGGTGCACATTAAGAGTGACTAAATTATATGCTGCCTGTATATCGGAACTCGCACACACTAACTTGTGTGTAGGACAAAACTACTTTCTGTTCATTTCTTGTCTGAAGAAGTTGGCAAACAAGGAACAGAAAGGTGCAAGACTAAGATACAGTTCTAAAGAAACTCTCTGTGCTCTTTTGCTGTAGAAATGGGGTGCTGGACTGGAGCTCTCTGCCTGCTGCTGAGTTTCTGCCTGGGCTGCGCTGTGGCAGAACCAAACGAGCACTTCGCCACGGAGAAGGAGATCATCAACAACGTCGTGCAGGACCCACACACAGGACGCGTGTATCTGGGCGCAGTCAATGGGATCTACCAGTTAAACTCCGACCTCCGGAAAGAGAAGTACAGGGAAACGGGCCCAAAGGACGACAACCCCTCCTGTATCCCCCCCATCACAAGGGCGTGTGACGCCAAGCCCACAAACAACACCAACAAGCTGCTGCTGGTGCACGAGAGCAACAGCTCCCTGATAGTGTGCGGGAGTCTCTTCAGGGGGATCTGCTCCCTGCTGAACCTCTCCAACATCGAGGACGTGATTTACTACAGTGAGGACAAAGGGGAAAGGGCATTCGTGGTGAGCGCTGATGAGACGGTGTCAGTGGTGGGAGTGATGTCCACTCTGATGAAGGAGGAGGAAAACCTGACTGTCTTCTTAGTTGGGAAGAGCTATGATGGGAGCCACGATAATTCCAAGTTAATCAGCACCCGGATTCTTAAGAATTACAGGGATTGGGTGGTTTTTGAAAATTTAGTTGAGGCCCCTGTGCAGACGAGCTCCTATGGCCTAAAATACAAACACGACTTCCGCTACGCCTTCAAGGATGAGGGATTTGCCTACTTCCTGTTCTCTCGCACAAATGGCAAGAGCGATAAGAACTACACGTTTATCTCGCGGCTGTGTGAGAATGACAGCCATTACTACTCCTACACGGAGCTCCAGCTGAACTGCAGTGAGGCGGGCACTGCCCTGAACCAGTATAGCAAGGTGCAGGCTGCCTACATCACTTCCCCTGGGGAGCAGCTGGCCAGCATCATGAGCCAGTCCAGCAGGAATGGTCATGTGACGGCCCAGGACAAGGTGCTGTTTGTGGTCATGAGCACCGATTTGGAATCTAAACAGCAGAGCTCTGCACTCTGCATGTACCCGCTGAAGGCCATCAATGCCAGACTGGCACAGATCATCAGCTCTTGTTACTCTGAATTAGGCGATATTAAAGGGGAGCAAGCTGTTTACACCCCATATTCAGAGACTCTACACTGTACTTCGGTTAATGTAAGTAACTTTTTAACAGTTATGTTTTTCTCCTACATACTGTAAAATGTGGCTCAGTGGAGCAGTAGAATATTGGAAACACAGGCGAAGCCATATGCATCACAGACAGTAGCGCCAGGGGACACTGACGTCACCAGTGCTCAGCAGAGGATATGAAGTGCTTGGTTAGAGTGTGAAATCTGGTCAGCTTCACTGATGATAGTTCTGTCACCTGTATGTCCATCCAGTTTGCTTAACAGTGGTGAATTTGCTCAGCTGGATTAGGCCAACTATGTTTATAACCAACATGTATATAATCTTTTTGGATCACAACCACAATTCACACTCATACAGGTGTGTGTTTGTTTGCTGCCGGACAGCAAACTTGCACAGAAAAAACATGGAATTGTAGTACAGAAGAGAAGGCAAGGTAGACAAGGTTTTCATCACGTGTTGTTTTATAGAGAGGTTGGATAGCTTATCTTTCAGTTTCAGAGTGACGTGCTGTAGCATGTAAATTAAGTTAGAATGCATCGGTATTAATATTCCACAGTTTGCACATTTGTTAAATACATTGTTGGAGCTCTCAAATAATTGCTCTACTTTTCAGTTTTTATTCTGTTGTAGTAATGGAGATGGTGTCGTCAATACATTGTTTTCAGGCTCATTTTAAGACAAGTGCTGTACATGAAGACAAAATCAGAGACATTTGTTGATATAAATAACCCATTTCCTGCCAATTGAAAGGGTTTCAAAACCAGTGGCTGTAAAGACTCCACAGTGTGTCATCTGCCTCTGTGTTGACTCTGACCTTGTTGTTTTGTGCCCATCAGAAAGTCCAGGTAGATCAGTACCCTTGTGGCGCAGACTTCCTGCCCTCTCCACTGGCTGGCATGCCTGCTTTTGCAGTTTCCTCAGAGGCTGTTTTCCACAGCAAGGACCAGCTGACCGCAGTGGCTGTGTCTGTGGAGAATGGCCACTCCATCGCCTTCTTGGGCACCAGCGCTGGGATGATTTGCAAGGTGAGAAACGTGCTGAGAACATGTGAGCTCTCAACAGGGGTCAACACCATGAACAAAACAGGCCGGCACCTTGAACTCCTGCCAGTTCCCTGTGGTTTAGTGTGACACGGTTATCGCTGTGAATGGATCTCTCTGGATACCCAGGACCTGGACAAAGAACTCCACTTCCTTCTGCTGCTGTAGATACAGCCTGTCTTTCCCAGTGGGATGGTCACCTCATGGCAAAGCCTAGATGGTGACCCGTTCATCTGCAGGAATAGTGGATCTTGATCCTGTTACAGGGAAACAAGAACTCACCGTGCAGTTCTGTGTTGTTTAGACATAGGTTTATTAAAAAAGACTTTTAATCAGCTCAGTGGGGATTCCTCAATTCCACATGACAGCTGATCTGTCCTCTGTCTCTAACATGAACATGAAAGCTGAGTTTCGACCCAACCCACAGACCATTCTCTGCGCCGTAGCAAGGACAGGCTCTGTAACTCCTTCCTCCCTGTGCTGCAGGTGCATCTGGCCAACGTCAGCAAGCGGTACGAGAACATAACTGTGGGGAACACCAGAGTGAACAAGAACCTCTTCTTTGCCAAGAGCTGGAAACACATTTACGTCACCACAGAGAAAAAGGTAAAGTTTGTCTTTCACAGCTGGAAAATCTCATCCCAAAACTCTTAGATTGTAAAATCCACATGGCATAATCTTGACATGGCCAAGTCTTCAGCTGTAATTTCTTGATTGAATGTTACAGAGGACCTCAGACAATCCTGAGAGTAGTCCTCCCTCCCATTCTTCAGCACAGCGTCGCGGTGTGTTTTAGCCCCTTGAGTGCTGAAGGTGCTCAGGCGTCAGGGCTCATCTTCTTCCCCGGCCGGGGCTGTGCTGTGTTGCAGATCACTCGATTGCCCGTGCAGCAGTGCCACCAGAGAAAGAGCTGCCAGGCCTGTGTGGCACCGAAGGACCCGTACTGTGGCTGGTGTGTGATGGAGGGGAGGTGAGTCCAGCCTGCAGGTCAGATAGGACGGGGGGGCGTAGCTGATCTCTGCAAACAGTGAGACTCAGATGGGTGCTGGACAGTGGTCTGGGGTCAATGATCTTGACCCCTTTATCTTGTGTGTGTGCTGGACCTCTGTCCCTACTTTTTACCTGTACTGATCTGAGACATACCCTAACAAACAGCTCTCTTGGAGTATTAGCCCTTCTTCAACGCAAGGTTTCTTTTTACATTTACTATATATGTGTTTGGCCTTGCACACAGTTGGGCCGGACAGGCTGTAGGTAAGTTAGACTGCTGATGATGCTCACTGTACAGTATAGACTGTAGATAAAGTAGACTGTTGATGGTGATGATGGAATATCAGTGTCTTTACTCGGTCTGTGCAGTGCAGAAGCATTCCCTCGAAAGGCTCCCAGTTTTGTTTCTTGTTTTCCTACCCTCAAACACCAGGCCAATGCGTTAGTGTGAATTCACATGCTGAACTATAAAATACATTTGTGGCAAGAGAAGACTGGGAAGCTGAACGTTTGGTGTGGAAGCCTGATACTTTTGTCTCCGTGGCAAATAAAGGTGTACTTGACCGTGGCAAGCTCGCGTTGACTCGGACAAACACAAAAAGGCAATTCGAGGAGAGAATTCGTCACCAAATTGCCAGATTCTTTTGTAAAATCTGGCAGCAAAACAGAGGATGCCATTATTGCACCAGAGGGGACTTATGGATTTCACACAGTTAAACATCATCACAGTTAGTTTACCAATGAACATAAATGTGGGATATTTTGAAAACCCTCTCCATCCCGACCCCCTACCCAGATAAGGCAATAGGAAAGTTCCTCAGGGTGTCCTCTTTTTTTGATGTTCAAATATGGTAACCCTAGTGGCCGATGTATAATCCTCCGCATGACATGACATGATTCTTGATTTTTGCAAGGTATTAATTTTCGATCACTTGTTCTGTTGGTGAATGTGGCGATAAGCTGCGTCTCTGAAAGGTACAGAGGAGTATGAACACTCAAGTATTAGCGCGTGCTGTATCGATGTAGCTAGTATGTAGGCTGCGTATTTGACACACAAACTAATTTTATTAAAATAGAAAATATGAAAACCTGTCTCAAGCTTTCTGAAACCAAATAAGTAAATTACAGATGAAAAATGTACATAATTTTTAATTATTCAAGTTTTAATTCCCGGTTTTTCAGTGCACACAACACATTTCCAGGGTCATCTGGCGCACCACCTGGGGGCGCTCCGCACGCATACCACAGTTTGAGAACCACTGATCTAGGCTGTTGGTGATGCCGGTTGTGCAGTACAGGCAGTAGGTGATCTAGCCTGTTGGTGATGCTGGTTGTGCAGTACAGGCTGACCAGCAGACTCTCTCCCTGCAGATGCACCAGGAAGGCAGAGTGCAGCAGAGCCCAGGAGGCCAACCACTGGATCTGGAGCCCCAGTGGGACATGTGTCCAGATCACAGGCTTCGACCCACCCAACCTCAGCCGCAGGAAGACAGGGAATGTAAGAGCTCTGGCACTGGGACTGGGAACTTATGGGAATGCCTCCTTAAACATGAATTACCAGTATGGTTTGAAGCTCATTAGAGCTCCTAATGAGAGGAATGCAGGATGAGTAGCCGTGAGCTGTCTTAAATGTTTCTTTTTTAAGATTCAGAGCAACAGGGGTGCCTTTCACTATCAGATGCATTTTTCTGTTTTGGGAGCAGTAAAGATCAAATAAATAATAATATCTCTTTGCACATTCCTACGATTCAAGTCTCATTGTATTGGCATCTCGGGATTTCCTGGGTACGTTAATTGAGCAAACCGAAAACTTCAAAAAGCGTGTTTGTGTGAATTTGTGTTTGAGAAAGTGGAATGTTTTGATGTGTTAGGTGCTTTGTACCACTCCCAGCCAGGTGATCTGGGGGAGATCTCAGGCGTAGCTGGCTCAGAGCTTGCCCGCAGTCTGTGTTTTGTGATTGAGTCCTTTTTCCTCTTGTGTTCCCTGAACCGTGCTCCCCCGTTTACTAGGGCGTCGTTCCTGTAAAGTAACGTATCCGTGTGAGCACAAAGGCTCCACGGCCGAAACGTCTTTCCTCTCTCCTTCTCGGTGTGGAATGTACAAAGCTCTTCCCTCGAACCCCTTTTCAAGATTTTCAAACAAGACTGTGTCTGGCCCTCACCCGTAGTGATGTGAATTTACCGATATGTTGCATGTGCAAGTAAAGCTTCTGTTTCATTTCATTGCCAGGTGCGCCTTACTCTGTCCCCTCTCCCTGCCATTAAGGACAGTGACGAGCTGAAGTGTAGTTTTGGGGTGTCTGACAGTGTAGCTCGGTACGAAAATGACCAGATTGTCTGCTCTCTCCCTGAGCCCTCCCTCATCCCTCCAACTCCTGGAAACCAAGGTAATCTCTCCCGTCCTCAGCTCACTGCTGCTGCACACTGGGGGGCCGGAGACAGAATACAGGCTCTGCACATCAGTGGATTGACTTCCCATACACTCTTGTCTCTGTACTGGCCTTGTCTGGCAACAATGGGAATTTCAACTGATCTCACAGCGTAAAGCTGACACCCAGCTGGTCTGCCCGCACCCAGTAATCCGTTCTAGACGAAGTCTAGCACTGGTGCAAAACCTGACCTTTCTTTCTATGTGCTTGCTGGGATTAATTAGAAATAATTGTTGGTACTGACCTTCTTGTACTGGACCTTTTAAAATTGCAAAGACTGCCGCGCAACAAAGGTTGTGCTCACAGGTACTATAGACAAATTGGTCTGATCACATATAGGGGTGGTGTGTCTGCTTTAATTACCAGTGCCAAGTCTAAAGCAAAGGTTTTAGATAGATACTTTATTGATCCCGTGAGGGAAATTGCAGATTTTATGCTAGCTCAGTATATGACCAGGTAACTTATTAGCTCACAAACGTGTGTTTGTTCAGTGCCTTTCATTCTTAATCAGCTCATTTATTTTTAATAATAAATAATAATACATTTAACTTATATAGCACGTCATTACGGTGAATCACAATGTGCTTCTCATTAAAAAAAAAACCTCAGAAGAGAAGTTAAGGAACTTTTAAGATGTATTGAAGGTCTCCGCTGCAGCTGCTTGTCTGAGGCGATCAGGGAGGCTGTTGCAGAAGAGAGGTGGAGGGTTGGAGACGGCACGCTCCCCACCACCATGCGCGCTTTTATTCAGGGGAGCCTTTTTTTCTGTTTTCAGATTTTGTTGCGCTGAATGTGACCCTGATCTCCGTCAACGGGTCCGTCCAGATCGCCGCCAGGAAGTACAAGTTCTACGACTGCAGCGCGGCGATGAAGAAGGACCCGAACACACCGTGAGTGCCCCCCCGCCGAGCCCCGTCTGCGGTGGCGCCCGGCAGCTGCTTCACCGGAGCTGTCGTGCCTGTTACTGGGTTCGGGGATGGTGAGAGAGGGGCACAGCCCTGAACACACACAAGGACGGGTTTTCAGGAAACTTGCCCTTTTCAAGCCCTGGGACAAAGAACCAGATGTGTGTGTGTGTGCTTGTTTTTGTCAGGGCGACACAGAAGGTGATCACTGAAATGGTGTTGTTGTTGGGCAGTATTGATTGGGAAAGTGCAAGGCGCTTGTAGGACGTCTCTGTGGCGGTACAGAGGTCACGTGTCTTTTCTCTGTTTGCACACGTCAGGTGCATGTCGTGTGTAACCAGCTCGTGGAACTGTCAGTGGAACACAGAGACGCACACCTGCAGCGAGAGCGATGACACCTCTGCCGACATGAACATCATCAGGAACACACAGGTAAGAGCAGAGTCCTGAACAAGTGGCACAGCTGTGTCCTCACAGCCTCTACCCAGGCTTCTCTAAAGAAATGTCTGGATGAGGGCTACAGGTAAATTAGCTACTGTCACATGGGCTGGGTGGGCTACATGGCCTCTTTTCATTTGTAACCTTCCTAACAGGGGCATCAGCTCATAAGAATGGCTTTAATTGTTGATTCTATGTTATTGATGTCATTTTAATTAGTGGATCATCATGATTGTTAGTGCTGGTAGAATAAACAACAGATGAGGTTGTAAGAGAAAGTGGCACAGGTGATGAGGTGAGGTTGATATGTTAAATATAAAGTCTGGTGAAAATAAAAAATGTCAGGTGGGTATGATAGTCCGGGCAGGATTGTGTACTTGCAGAACTCCACATGCAGTGGTTGATGGGAACCTAACTGCATGGTGCTGCATTGACCTCACTTCCTGTCCTTCCTGTGGGCTCACCCTGACATGACAACATTCCAGCAGCACAGCACACATCCTTCATGCTGCTTGTGTAACAGCAGCTTACCTTCACAAGGGGAAAGTGACAGTTATACTGTGGATTACCCACAATCTGGATACGAGCCACATGGAACATTTCTGGGTCGAGCTGGGAGAAGGTATGACAAGCAAGGCTCAGAGATCAGAGACCAGTGACCAGGCACATAAGACAGCATGTGGATCCAAATGAGCAGCTTGTATTAACTTGCAGCAGTGGCCACATGCTACTAACCTGTGACTCTCACAGCAGGCCCCTTGCTGATCAACCCTGTTAATAACAAGTGTTAATCAGCATGATAACCTACCAATGTATGTTCAGTAATGTTTCAGACTACCTTCTATTAAAGATTGTCATTTTCATAGTTGAGTCTTAAGATTTTATTGTTTAATGCATAATACTTTAAAACTAATGAGCTCACTTTTTCCCCACTCCTCATTTCAATGCCTTGGTAAAGATTATTGGCATGTTACTTATATAGGAAAAACACATAAGTTGAAATGATCAACTAGATAATGATAGAAATTACATTTTAGTCCTTATTTGTCCTCTGTTTAACAAAGGTATTATGTGGCGCTCTCTGGGGGAGCATGGGTTTTGATTCCTGATGCTTACAATGTAAATAAAATGTTTGGCTTGGTTGAATCAAGTTATTTTCCTCCTGTGTTCAGAAGGCAAATTAGAGAGACCTTTGACATCAGGTTGTCAGCACATGGAGGCCAGTGCTACAGACTCCAGAGGCAGGTGGGAAAAGTGGGTGGTGATGAAAGGGTTAAAGGTGAATGAAAACATGAACAGCCTTTCATTTTTTATCTGTTTTCTGGCAAAGGGAGAAAAATGTCCCCAGTTTGAGACTCCACATCCTCAACAGATCCCTGTAGGACATAAGACCCCCATCACTTTTGTGGGCCGTAATCTGGACATTGAGCAGGTAAGGAGACAAGCATTTTGATAACTAATTGTTCCTTTTTTTAAAGGAAAAAAAATAACCTAAATAAAATAATCTGCCAGCTGGTAATCTGGCACAGGTCTGTATTATTGCTGTTTTTAATTAGTTTTGTTATATTGCGGTGGTGGTCATGTGGGTGATACTATTTATGTGAAAGGCTGTGCAGGGCTGTCCTCAGCGGTTGAGAAATGCAGGCTTCATAGCCGTCTCGCTAATTAGACGCGGCGTTGGGTTCGCTCTCGGGCCGGAGAGCCACATGCACTTTCTTTGAGCCGGCGCTGAATTCACCACAAAGCAGGGCCTGAAAACTGAGCGTTACTCATGATGACAGAGATGCTCTATTTAAAAGGGTTTGGTTTTTAATTAGGAATGTAATCACTGGCCTCTACTTCATCAGTCACCCTGAATCACGAATTGAAAGACTTCATAGTCTCTTCACTGGGGCCATATTCTACTTGATGATATTGTTTTGGCTTTAAACCTTAGCAGAACTTTGCAAAACCCCACTCGTGCTGCCAGTATGGGCACTGGGTCAGGGTCCAGCTGTAAAGACTTCTGCAGGTCTTGACAATTGAGTTAAAACGAATGGCGCTGAACCTCCCAGTCACATTGCATCATTGTCTTAAACTAGAAGAGCAGCTGAACACACTGACTGTAAGGGATTTCCAACACGTATATTCAATCTGGGTTCATGTGAAGCGTGTTGGAGGTTTCTTGAACACTATAGGGATTTTGTCCTGTTCTTTGCGGTAGATTACAGTACTTCTACACTGAACTCAGGAGGAAATAGCTTGCCGCAGCTGTTAATACAAATCAGCTTTATCTTGTTTTGACATTCCGTGCGATACAGGCGGTACATGACTAGGTTAACATGCACCTGTGTTTACTCTAATACTTCACCCGCTGTAATTACTGTGAGTAATACTATGTGTAAGGTGTGTGTGTGTTCCACTTCTGTCATCTTGACAGAACCATAAATATTTCTTAAGAGGCTTTGAGCACATGAAAGGAGCCGTCTAAGAATAGTGTTTTTACTGTGTTTATTGGAACTCGTTATAATATTGTTCTCTTTGCATTACATGGTAAGCTCCTTTAAATACCAGATTTGTTTTGTTCTTCTTTAGGGTAAAAAATTTAAGATTGGCACAGAGTTAATGGAGGGTGAAGAGGACGTCACATCTACAGGAGGTTCAAGCTTCAGATTTCCTGGCTTTAAGGTCATTATTCTGTTCTTTACATCAGCACGTGGGCGCAAATGTAAAGTGGAACATTGCTGTGAGGTACTTGTGTGGTACTCCACTCAGATTGCTTCAGTGAAATGCACTGCCATAACTGTGGGTACATGTGTAAATTGCTTTTAGGTAGAAGAATCGGTTGCACATTTCTGAATTTATTAAATGCGTATGTCACGTTTATTGTAATGATCGCCCGGAAATATTCAATCTTGGGGTGCCAGCAGGCCTGGGCCCAGATGTTACAGAAAGGCAACATCACGTCGGCTCATGTAGGTGGTGTAGGTGAACCAGGAAGTTGACACTCTGGACTCAAAATTTCAGACCCTACTTACATTATTGTCCCAGTTGGGGAAATTTACTTTGCCAGCAGGTAAAAGACACAACTAAATACACAATGCATTTAAAGCAGTATGACCCCATTAACTAATAAGAGGCATAACGGTATGATGAGAAAGAAAAATATATAGATATTTTTTATACAGTGTATATATAAAAATTAAAGTCAAATATTTGGTCAGCTGTCAAAATGAGCAGAAAATAATCAGAATTAATAGCTGTGAGAATAAAAGATAACTTAGTTCTATTGCATTTGAATCTAGGCAGTCTAAATCAACACCCAGATGGAGGGAGCTCAAGTTCACCAACCCGGCAGTGTTGCAATACAGGACACTGTGGTACCAGCTTTGTGCCGGACATGATACATCTCGATCTTGCTTAGTAGTAACATTTAAAATCTGATACCGTTAAATCGGCATGAATAGGGGTGCTGATTCCGGAGGAGCTGGCTTTCTCAGATCAGGGTGTTTTTTTTCTTCCACATGTATTGTGAAACCTGCCAGCATGTCAGCCTCAGGCTCCTGGCCTGGTCTTGCACTGGAATCTGTTTCTGACAGGTGACGTGATTATACAGCTGTTTGTGAAACCACTTCAGGGCTTGGGAGAAGTTCACAAGAGATTACAGTGAGGCCTCAGGCGTTGTGACTGCTGGCTCCATTCCAGGCTGTGCCTCTCACTTCACTTCGCATTACTGGGACTGAGCCCTGTCTCTTCAGACCTGGCTGTCCGTGTGCTGAGCTTTCAAACCAAGGGCTCAGCAGGAGGGCTCAGGCAGGTTTCGAACCCAGGTCCCTTGAAGATGGAGCTGGTCTTTTAACCACTAGCATTGCTGTAGTTTAGAATCGCCCCTTATTTTCATCATATCCCCCTGATTTGGCATCGCCAGCTCCGTGTTTTTTTTCACGCCTTGACACCCGGCTGAGATCCCCACGGCCACACAGAGGGGCGAAAGAGGAAGAGACTTTTCCAGCACGCCTGTCCTCACTCCCTCATTTTTTTAACATGTCACGGGCTGGAAAACCCCCGTACTGGAGAATCACTGCTGCCTGGAGGAGAGACGTGTTCCTCACCCATAGCACTGCACGCCTGCAGTCACCCAGGTGGCCACAGGGGGGGCGCTGTGGCACCTCGAGCTGAGACCGCTCTGGTCGACTCTTCTTCCCACCCTACTCTCGGCAGTGCTCAGCCAACAGTGCCGTGCCGCTTTGTGCATCGTTAGCGACGTGACCCAGGCTCGAACCCTGATCACAGAGCTGGAGCTGCACTGAGCCACTGGGCAGGCCCGACAGTGGGAGGGTTTGTGGCGATTGAGCTGTAATGCTGCTCTTTGTCACACAAGTAACACAGCTGCAAAGAGCAGGGCTGTCCCGGCAGCCCTGACCTCCCTCAGCAGCAGAGGGAGCGGCGCGGGTTCGAGTGATGCCGTGGAGATCGTCCTCAGCTGCCTCACGGAGTTCTGGCGCCAGCTGGGTTCACTGCTGTGCCAACTGAGCTCCTTGATCATTATGGAAAAGTAATTCCCAGTCTAGTGATACTCCTGCCATAGGCAAAGATCAAGATTCCTTCTGTTGTTGTTCATGATATGTGGAATATTCGTCTGCTGCTGTCGCACCCTCTTGTGGCTGCAGTTGGTACCATTTTCCACATGCCTTCAACTGAGCTGAGCAGTTAATCCAGGCCCGTTTTTACAGGTTCGACAATGGAACACCGAACCTCATAATAAGACAAACATTTGCCAGTCTGAATGCTTACACTGTAGCTAAGCTGAAGCTCAAAACAAAGCCAAGAGTGTCAAAATCAAAAGTTTAATTCTTCATTTTCAGATATTGAAGATTATATTATGGTCAGTAACTGCATTTAGAGTAAGATTCTGTGCTGTGTTTCTGACAGAACGTTACAAAATATTCAAGTAGTAATGCATATTTAACAATGTAACAAACACTTTGCCCTTGTTGTTCTGTGTAGTTCTCCTATGACAAAGGCCAGACAGTAGATCTCTTGTTCTATGTACGAGAGGATGGAACTAATCACAGGATTGACAGCACTCTGAATGGTGAGTCGACTCTTCTGCAGGTGATAAGTTAATTAGTTTGGTAGTTATCATTCATACCTCAAAGCAAGGATGGAGTTATACATATTAGTTCAGGTGGGGAGCTGCTTCAGCATGCGGAGGCTGTAAAGGATCGAGTCAAAGGTTTATTCCATGCTGAAAAGAGAAGAAAGGAAACAACGTTTTGACCGTGGAGCCCTCTTCAGGTGAGGTTTTCTTTCTTCTCTTTTCAGCATGGAATAAACCTATTACGTTATACATATTATACACATATAAAATCGTCATACTTCAACTCTGATATGGTTTTGCCTCCTGTGTTTTGTTGGAGGGTGGGGACAGCCTTTTCTCTGCCAGCAGTTGCACAGAAAATGTTATTTCTCTTCCATGTGCGTTTCCTTCACCACAGTCAGTGACAGGCTGCTGATCCCAAGGATAGTGCAGGCAACTGCCCTTGGTGCTGTTTGTGTTCATTTTAAGAGCAGAAGACAGTCAAAGGGGAACTACAGTCTCTATTTCTCAGACCAGTTATTAAATCTGGGTCACAAAATACATTTATTAACGACGTCGCAAAATTGTACAAATTCTGAATTAAGCACAAAATTGTGAACTCTGTGGAAGTACTGTATTGTTGCTATCTATGTTGTGGCAACATTGCTGGTCTCACCACGGACAAGAGCAAGAGTTCGCAAGAGCGCAAGAATGGTAATTCTGTGGCCCTTCCTGCTCACTAGTCACTGTACTGACTGACGTAATGGATGTACGAACATATAAGCACAGGTTGTGCAGCAGATATTTCACTGCAGAAATGCTCCAATGTGATCTCCATAAACAGTTAACAAGTAAGGTGTATTTGTAGGCAAAACCTTTTCGAACTCAAGAGCTATATTTCTGTTGGATTAAAAGAGATGTATTCACAAGCCTGCTTGTTTACAATGTAAAAGGGCCGCTTCACAGCACCAGACATTTGGTTGCCTCATTCTGAAGCGCTGCTCAGACCTGACAATTTGGTCTATTTTGTGATGTAAATTGGAGGTTTTTCATGTAACTGTGAATATTTTACTTCCATTGCAGTTTGAAATGCATTCATCAAAGCCGATTCTTTCTAACCCCAAAATATAAAAAGTGCCATTGCAGTTACCCTTGAACAAACTAAAAGGAGGTTATTTGGCTCATCCCATCTCGTTAGTTACTGTAGGTTCTTAGTAGCTAATTGCCCCAAGGATCTTGTTCAGCTTTTTCTTGAAAGCAGCCAGGGTATCAGCTTCAGAGACTTAACCGGATGGCATGTCCCGCGCTCACGCAAGCCTGTTGGTAAAGAAGAGCCACCTGTTCTCGGTTTTAATGCACTTTCATGTAGTTTTCACCTGTGCCCTCTGGCTCATGTTTCACTGTTCATTCTGAAGAAGCCCACTGGGTTGACTTACTCAGTGCCTTTGAGGATTTTGCTAAATGATAAATGAATACTTGTGATTTTGCTTGCTTTCTCACCACCTCTCGATCCCTCCCTTCCTAGTGACTCTGTACAACTGCTCGTTTGGCCGTGAGGACTGCAGCCTGTGCAAGAGCGCAGACCCGCAGTACAACTGCGTGTGGTGTGGCACCACCAGTTCCTGCATCTATAAGCAGCTGTGCTCAGATGAGATACAGGAGTGCCCCGTGCCCCAGATCACAGGCGTGAGTACTCGGGGCTTGCTCTGTCCCCTTCTCGTGAGCGGCGGAGGGTCACAGGGTCCGATCCGGAGAGTCCCCTGGCAGCTGATTGATCTAATTCTGACTGGGCACTAATCACAAAAACCAGGAGGCAGGAAGCAGGAAAATGTTCTGTTTCTGTGCAGGTGTCAGTTCAGTTAGTGAGGCTGTCAGGACACATGCTCTGTTATATTGCTGGATGCTTAAAAGTTCCTGTTCTTCTTTTTCATTATTTTAGCAGATGCCCTAATTCAGGGCTCCTTACATCACATTAAATGTAAATATGAGCTAAAGTGTATCTCATTTTATTTTCAGACTTACTCGCCAAAGCTTTCTCTTTCCTGAGCATTTTTTTATTTTAGATAAAAAGGTTAATGTGAGCCAAACGTATAGAATTTCAGCTTTTGTTTCTGGGGTATTATTTTGCATACATGTTTACAACGGTGTCATTTGTTGTGTTCAGCCCCTCCTTTCAGGTGAGTATTAGGACCAATAGCTGGCAGGCGCATCAGAATGCTCAGTTGTTCCATTGTATTGTACGAATTGTGAAAGCCTGGAAGAGCAATGAATGAACAACCTCTGTGGTTTACTCTGTTGGCCTGCCTCTTCAGTTAGATGGCTCAAAACAAGATGAAGACCAGAGAGTTGTCTGTGACAGGTAAACAAGTATTTGTGAAGATGAGAGCAAAGAAATTTACAGTTGGGACCATTGCAGAGAGACTGGGAATCACAGCAATATGGAAAGTCTCGAACAATGAAGAAACTAGTGAAGGAGGAAGTAACATAATGTCATAATGTGTATTATGACGGATTTTCCTATGCCCTTTCCTTTCTTGGTTAACGGTCTTAGTGTTATTCTCAGCGACAGCCCCATGTGGGGCTGTCTCTTGGAGAACTGCAGAGTGGCGCTCAGGCTGTGCTAATGTGAGCTTGCTCTCTGCTCCAGATTATTCCTCGCTACGGGCCTCTGGAAGGGGGCATTGCAGTGACCATCAAGGGATCCAACCTGGGGATCCGCAAGGAGGACATTAGAAGTATCACGGTGGCCGGCGTGGAGTGCAAACATGAGCCAGAGCGATACTCAGTGTCCACCAGGTATGGTACCAAGAGAGCAGTGGGTTGTGGGAAGGGTGTCCGTCGTGGTCTGGCAGACCACTGAAGCTCAGCAGGTGTGAACTTGCTCAGTACCTAGATGGGAGACCTCCTGGGAAAAACTAAGGTTGCTGGTGGAAGAGGTACTAGAGGGGCCAGTAGGGGGCGCTCACCCTACGGTCTGTGTGGGTCCTAATGTCCCAGTTTGGTAATGGGGACACTATACTTTAAAAAGGCGCTGTTTTTTGGATGAGACATAAAACCTGACTCTCTGTGGTCATTAAAAATCCCAGGTTGTTTCTCGAAAATAGTAGGGGTGTTAATTCTGGAGTCCTGGCCAAATTTCCCCCTGGCCTTTATCAAACATGGCCTTCTAATTATCCCCATCTGTGAACTGGCTTCATCCCTCTGTCACACTGAGAGCTGGGGTGTGGGGAGCGTTCTGTAGCACTATGGCTGCCGTTGCATCATCCAGGTGGGGCTGCACATTGGTGGTGGTGGAGGAGAGTCCCTATTACCTGTAAAGCTCTTTGAGTGGAGTGTCCAGAAAAGCACTATAGAAGTGTAAGGAATTATTATTAATTATTGCCACCATTTCCAGCTCTTCAGGCTTTATGAAACATGGAAATCCTGCAGCCCTGATGTAATGTCATCTCAGGCAGTTAAAACCTGAGAGAGAAACCATGAGAGAAGGCTTCTGGTTCTCCTTCCACCTGAGCCCTAGGTTATCTCATTGAACTCAGTGTTTGCTTAACTGGACAAGGTGCTGCCTTGCCTTGTTCTTGAGAAGCAGAGTTTTACAGAGACCTAGAAACCCTGCTGGACAGTGGCCATTACGGGTCGCCTCCCCTCAGTCCGCTGTGCCACTCTGAACTCCACTTTCTCTTCCCAGCGTCATCTGTGAGATCGGCCCCGTCCCCAGAAGCTTGTCGGGCACGGTGGTGGTGGAGGTGGGCGATGGGAAGACTGGATCGTCTAAGGAAACGTTCACCTACAGGGTAAGAACACCCCACCAGGGCCTGCTCTGTACCCCTTTACACAAAGGGTTTTTACTCAAAACAGTGTCCACATTCAGATTTGTGGCAGATATGAGCCTTTGGCCAGATCACTGTGCAAGACAGATTTTGTGTTGTAGTATTAGCTCTGTATTCCTTTACTAATTAACAGGAACACTAAAGGTGGTGAAATTCAGAAGTCCAAGAATTTGATGTTGGATTAAAGGTTTGCCTGCAGCTGACTGCAGTGCTGCAGATGTCAATGAACAGCACTTGATGCCCGAGACATACCAATGTGTTCCATACGCGAGACATCATGAGGAACAGTGTGAACTGCAGCTTCAGAAAAGAAAACTGTGGTTATCTGATCCCAGATTCGTTGGAATTTATCAAAGCAGGATGAGTTGCTTCGTGCCACAAAACATTAATACATGGAATTAACTTCAGTAACGAAAAAAGTCTGAAGGTGGGACTTGAAAATGATGAATGAGATGAAATGTGGCTAATATCTGCACGTCCGAATAAACATGGGGAATACATCATCTGTTAAAAAATGGTCAAGTCGTGCTGGAGCTGTTGGTGTGCAGTGGTGCCAGCGCCTTCTTTGCGTTATAGAGTTTATTTTCTGCCCTTCACTTCCAGGATCCTGTACCAACAGCGGTCAGCCCAAACAAGGGCCCGATGGCAGGAGGGACAGTAATCACCATCTCGGGGGAATACCTGGACACAGCCACCAAAGAGGATCTCAAGATTACCGTGGGCGACGTGGAGTGCACAGAGTAAGCTCGCCGTTAGGTCAGGGGAACTGTGTTCTCCCCAGCCCTGGCAGCAGTGCTGCAGGAGAGACCGGAAAGTGAGGGAT